TACCTGGCAGCCTTCAGAGGAATTCTGGACTCAGGCAAAACTCATCAACAAAGGACAAAAAAAGTGGCCAAATTTTTGATGAGGAACAAGGTCATCACATAATGTCAAAAGTGCTATTCCTTAAAAGGGGGAGAGGGAGCCTTTGAATGGGGAAGCCCGGAGAACCCCACAGTCCTGAGACGAATCAGGGTCAGCTGAGCATGCCTGGAGGACCCCACAGTCCCAAGACAAATCAGGGTCAGCTGAGCATCCCGGGACAGGTGCTCCTTTCGTGACTGCCAACACCTCTGCTGGAGATGCTGCACCTCTTACAACCAGGAGGAAGCACCCACAAGGGACCACACTAAGAGGTTTTGCAAAATGTTCCTGTAGGTGTCATGAAAGCTGAAGCAAAACAGCTGCCTAGAAGGAGGCTGAAAGGAGAGAGGCCAAGGGCATGGGTGGAGGGTTGGGGGTGGGTTCTGGGTAGATAGGTGGGAACTGGTGCGGAGAGCCGACAAGATCTGTGTAGAGAATACCAGGGAACAGTACTGTTGAATACTGAATTTTTATATCTTATTCTCCCCTTTTTTGGTGGGGGTGGCGGGGTGGGGAAGGGTGTACACCTAGCAATGCTCAGGAGCACTGCCTGGCTGTGTTCAGGAATCACTACTGGTGGTGCTCAGGGATCATATGGGATGACAGGGATCGAACCTGGGCTGGCAACATGCAAGGCAAATACCCTACCCTCTGTACTATCTCTCTGGCCCCTTTTTATCTCCTTCCCATTTGCTGTCGGTGTTGTTGCAATGAGGGGGGACAGCATGCTTCTGTGCAGTGATAGCTCGTGCCTGGTTGGGGTGCCCTGTGAACCCATGCTGTACCCAGACTCTAGTCTCTCAGAGCTAAGCGAAACAGACCCTCTTAGCTGTTCATATTGAATCACATCCTCTCCTCTCCAAGCAGAAGAGTTAAACAAATGCCCCACCTCCTAGAACTTGTCTCCTTTTCATCCAGCTCCCTGAACATCCTCTATTTCCCCATTCTGAATGGGAGTATGCGGGTTTACCCTGCTGCTTTCCTAGAAATAGGAAAGATGGTTCTTAGCCCATAAAAATGATCAGCCAAAAATTCTGAGCTGATATACCTGACACACAGGAAACGTTCTTCACACAGAACAAGATGCCAGGGGCCATGATTATCACTACACCTGGTTAACACTAGAAAAACTGGGAAATGGGGTAAGAGAAAAGAAATAATACATAACAGCATAGTGTATTACATATACAATAACATATGGAAACACAACAAGGAAATATTTAGTATACTAAGAGAGGACAGTGGGTAGGACGGTTGCCTTGCATGCGGTCAACCCAGGTTTGATTCCTCTGCCCCCTCACAGAGCCCAGCAAGCTACTGAGAGTATCTCGCCCATACGGCAAAGCCTGGAAAGCTCCCCGTGACATATTCGATATGCCAAACACAGTAACAAGAAGTCTTACAATGGAGATGTTACCGGTCCCGCTCAAGCAAATTGATGAATGGGAGAACAGTGCTACAGTGCTACTAAGAGAGTCAGTCACTAAACTCGTAGAAAAATAACTCAATGGTAATAACAAAACCAGCAAAATGAATAATAGTGCAACAGACAGATCTTGCTTCTCTAGTTCTTCTCCCCTCCCTGTGTTGATGTTGTTGTTGTAGGGTGAAATATTTGGTTGTGGTGCTCAAACATTTGACACCTTCAGACCCATTGCTTGCTCGGTGCTGGACTCCTTTAGTTGTGGTGCTTGCAAACAGTAAGGATGGCATATGGTGGTGTAAATCACATAACATTAGCTGCTGAAAGCAGGGCTCTAGAAGATTGTAGTTTAAACCAATTCACAAATAAATTTTGCACTTAAGTAAAAGGTGGAAAAAAGCTATTCGAAACGTTCCATCCTCTGTGCATGATGTCTACTGATCTCTTGTCATTAGTCAAGCTCCCAATGGCATTCCGGTTGCAACAGAGGGCAATGACAAACGTGCACATTATGCCAGAGTCTCGAAGAATAATCTGAATAATCCCCTTGCTTATTCATGTGGCCCGATGAACTACAAGGCAGACTGGGAAGAAGCCTTTAGTTGAGTAGTCTGGGGTCCCGTTAGACTGAAGTCTCTGTTCCACGAAAGAAGGGCAAACAGATGAGAGAGCAATTGCAGTCTGCACCATGTGTTATCAAGTTCATGGAAAAGAGCTGAAAGAATGCTGCTGGAACAGGAATAAGAGTAGTAGGCAGGGGGCCAGAGAGATAGTACAGTGGGCAGGACACCCCATATGGTCCTGAGTACTTCCAGGAGTGATCCCCGAGTACAGCGGAGGAGTGAGCCCTCAGCACTGCTGGGTTTGCCCCCTCATGGCCCCTCCTCCAAAAAAAAGAGTGGTGGGTGGGTACAGTATAGCTTGAGACCAGGCTGGAGCGATAGCACAGCGGTAGGGTGTTTGCCTTACATGCAGCCAACATGGCTGCCCGAGTTCGATTCCTCCGCCCCTCTCGGAGAGCCCGGCAAGCTACCGAGAGTATCTCGCCCGCACGGCAGAGCCTGGCAAGCTCCCCGTGACGTATTCGATATGCCAAACACAGTAACAACAAGTCTCCAATGGAGACGTTACTGGGCCCGCTCGAGCAAATCGACGAACAACGGGAGGGCCTTTACCTTACCTTAACCTATTAAGAGCATACTCCTATAAATTAAGGAATAAAAACATTTCAGAGTTTCCAAATTCTTTATTTGCAGTTTTATATTAATAATACATGTTAAATATATTAAATCTATCTACACTGTATAAAGTTTTCAAGGTTCTAAAAAGCAAGGTGTACCTAAATGAGCAAGTGACCCTACATTGCTAAAGCCTAGAGATGCAGAGCACCTTCCTCACTGTCACTCATATGGAAGACACGATGATGGCCTTTACAAGCACCCACACTGATCTGCCCAAGACCACAGCATGCCCGGCGCAGAGCTGAAACAAACTTTGCTTTTTACTACAACTTTAAAAAAAAATATATTTTTTTATCTTGTCTATTTGTTTGGGGGAAGGCATACCCAGTGATACTCAGGGGCCACTCCTGATAGTACTCAGGGGACTATGTGGTACCAGGGATCAAACCCAGCACTCCTGCCTACAAAGTATGCACTCCAGCCCTTTCAGTCATCTCTCCGGCCCCTACATTGCATCGTTTAAGGGCATTTTCTACTTGATGAGATGTCTACATTTTCTCTAGCTCGGTGTAGTTGAGATTTCACTACAGATGTAATACCCAAATACTTCACAACTGTGAACTGCATTAGTATTTCAGTCTCACAGTCAGAGGTGCTATTTTCTTGTTATTTAGTGAGTCTAATTTTTTTCTTCTCAGAAATAGAATTGTCGAGTTTTGACTCCTTTCTTAGCCAATACTCAAGTTTAAAACGAATTATCTGCCTAAAGTTTCTTTTATGGCTTCTCCAGATAATGATGACACAATGAAGGAAAAATATAATGAAACAAACAAAATGAGCAAGCTAAATCCAGAAAAGAAGTAGATCATTCTGATGGGAGTCATGACTCTGATTACACCTATGGGGAGAGACTCTTGGCTAAAGTTACATGACAGAATCTTAGGATAGTAAAAATAAAACTCAAGTCCACTATAATGCTGCTCAGCAGTGGGTCTCCCATACCCCAAGCCCAGACCCCTTCTCTCTGGGTTACAGAGAAGAGCAACAGAAAATAGGGAGGGGCAGAGAGAGTAAGTCCCTGAGCTCTGCCAAGTGAGCCCCCTCTAATCCCCCCACACACACATACACACTCACACACTCACCACACACTTCCTCCACATTCCCCAAAAGATCTTGCTACAGCTGTCTGATTTCAATATGAGTTAAAAGGCAAAGAAATGGCATGGGAGAAAGTTTCTAATATAGGAAAATGAAAAGAAAATATAGCAACTCAGAGTAAACTAATTTAAAAAAAAAAGACCACACTGTGACAGCTACAGGAGAAAGTAGAAGGAAAGCAAGCAATGAACTTAAAATAAATAAATAAATAAGAATTCAGACCCCATAAAGTAACAAAAACAGGAGCTCAGAAAAGTCCCCCCCCAAAAAAAACTGAGATTCAGAATACCAATATAAATGTGGAGACAAGAAACAGGACAGACACCATGGTAAACCATCCTCACAAATAGGAAAGCAAACCACAGTGATCGCAAAGAAAACAGAGATGAGAACAATGGACAGATGAGAACAAATAAAGAGAACAACAGGGAACTAGTCATCAGCATCCACAGTAAAGCAAATTCAGTGCCTACGATGGAAAAAAACATTTAAAGGTATCTCCCAGCAGGGAAGCAGAGATGGCTGGTTCCCTCCAAGACTGATGAATCATGTTGTGGTCTGGAATGACACTTGTCAGTACGTGTGCACTGTATTTCTTACAGTATTCCACTTTGAACTCTACTTAAAATGCTTCTGTATTTTTTTGATAACATAATTCCTTTTCCTAAAACCCACTGTCACTGGGTATGTGTATGTGGTGGAGGTGATGCACTCTGCTGGAAGTAACCCCAATGTAAACCTTAAAAATACAACTTTCTGTAAATATGTGTCTTCTCATTGCATCCTGACCTATCTTGTACTAAACTAATACATACACGCACCTCCTGAACAGTGCCTTAAATTATGATTATTTGAAGGAAATTAATATGATTCAAAAGAAAAAAATTTTGATCACTCTGGGGGTGGCAAACATAAACATTTTAAAAGTATGCACCAAAAATATTGCTGTCATTTGATATTGAGGAATTCACTTATTGAACAAGTTTAACTGCATATACCACACATTCTTAGCACCAGTAAAAATAATTCTTAATTTTTCTGCAGTAGAAACTTTACAATGAGCAGAAATGTGCTCCATGATTGTTTCTTGTGAGTAAAGGAACACATGTATTCCCAGAACTAACTGTTAGGTCCCTGATTTCACAACATAATTCATCGTGTCAAAAAAAAATAATAATAATGACAATAAAAGGAAAGAAAATAAGCCCAATTATTTTCTTGAGTTAATTTAGCATTCTAAAATGTTTTTTCATTTCACAGAACACTTTCTTGGTCCCTGCAGCTTTCATTATGAGGTAGATCTTCAGAGTAAACATTAAGTGCAGCAGTCTGTCTCCATTCACTGCGTGACATGATCGATCAGAGGGATCACGATGGTGAATTTGATTATTCATCACCAAATTAACAATCAGGAACCTCCGTGAGGAAAAGTCAAATTAAGTATACACAGGAACAGTGATCAGCAGTATTCTGACTTGAGTTTCCAGATTCCTTCACCACTTGAAGTCCGATGGAAAGTGCACAGATTTCTCAACAGTTCTCGAAAGACACAGGACTGTGAAGCTGATAATCGGGATTCAAACTCCTGCAGAATCTCCTGTGTGGTGGCCTGGCCGTCAACCCGGGCCTGGAAAGCAATGAAGTTTCTCATCTCCACCAGAAGGTCGTCATGTTCTGTGGCAGAGGGCTGTGGGACCAGAGTCTCCTGAAAGGGCACATTTTCGCTTTCCAACCGCTCTGGCAAAATCAGGTGGTTCCTAGCCCTCATTCTGGCCAACAGTGAGGAGGACGTGGGAGCCCCAGATGAAGACTCTGCATTTTCACTCTTTCCACTAAAATGTTCAGAAATATGATCTTTTCCGTCCTTTTTCGTGAGGCCATCCTGGGGAGAAAAGATGACTAGATGGATATGCTTCAACTTGTACTTTATGGACCCCGGGGGGCACCCAACCCCCAAACACAAAAACATTAATTCAGAAGGATGTATACACACCTACAATCATCACCACACTTGGTATAATAGCCAAGATCTTGGAAATAACCTAAATCCCCAACTATAAAATTAATGGATCAAGAAGGTGTAGTATGTATCGACAATAGAATACTATGCAGCACTAAGAAAGAATAAAATCATGCAATTTGCAGCAGTGAGGATGGAACTAAAGGAAATCATGCTGAGTGAAGTCAGTAAGAAGGAAAGGAATAGACACAAAATGATTTTACTCATATGTGGGATCTAAATATATATGGAGGTAGGCCCAAAGGCAAGACAACTGGAGAACCGCTGTGTTGCTGGGCTCGAGGTGGGGGGTTGGGAAGGGGACAGGTAGTACACTGGGCATGGATGTGATATTGGAATTATGTGTATGGGAAATCATTATTAATAGTACTGTGAATCAATAAAAAAAGTTTAAAAAGAAATGTTGGATTACCAAAAAAGTTAATTATATATACATATATTTAAAAATAAATTGATCCATTAAATAGTTGTCTAAATTCAGGAGTTTTCAGAGGTATCAGTAATGGAATTCTGAACCTGAAAAGACCAGAGAGAATTAAAGGAGCGTGTCTGGTCTAGCACTCACTCTCAGCAACATTCCCCAAGTGTTCAGGGAGCTGGAAAACAGGAAGTGGGCACAAGGCTTTAGCAGCTGGGAAATTACAAATACCATTCCAGGGGGCTCTCTCGACCTTTCGTGTGGAAGACAGAGATCTTCAAAGGGGGCATTTCAACATCAGATGGGCAGCTACAGAGGTAGTGACGCACAAGTCACCTAACCCTTTATTCGCTGTCAAAGGACAAACAGATTCTGCCATAGATCTTGGGTCTTTTGGGAAGCCAACTCTGTCTTTTGGGAAGTCAGCTAGACTTTTTAGATTTAATTGGCAAGTACTTCATAAATAAGAGCACACAACACAAATATCAGATGACACCATGCAGTGCCTTTCTTCACATCTGGAACTGGGTAAAATTTTCAGGGCCAGGCAAGCAAGTCTTGTACATGAGAAACAGAGAGGCCATTACCACATTACCTGGCATTTCTCCTTTGGAGATGTTGAAGGATGTGGCAGAGAAAACCTGGAGTTCTTTTTCTGACCGAATCTACTCCTAAATAAGAAAAAAAAAATATTTATATAGGATCAAATGTTTGGTTTGCGACTTAAAAGATGACATTTTCAGCTGCATTTGAGGGGGAGGGAGCGCTGACGCTGCTTTTCTATTCCCTTTGATCCTCTACAATGCTCTCCTGGGAAGCAACTGCTTCTTCTCTAAGTAACTGCATCTTAGAGAAGAGCCTCTCAGTACCTTTGCTCAACATATGATAAAAACTGCCTTCAAATTCTAGGAAGGAAAAGGAGTCTAAAAGAGCATACTAAATAGCATAAAAACTGATTGTTGGAGACTGGCTAAATGTCTTATTAAAGCGTCATCATTTTTCTCTTTCTATTACTGTGTTTAATCACACTATCGGTGACATGTAACAGATCACTCCTCCAGAAACATCAGCTCTGAAGGGCAGGGGCAAGAAGTGAGGAAGCAGGTAAGACCACAGACGCCTTTCCCCAGGTCATACATGTCTGGCTGAGAGATCTACGGTGGGTAAACAGAATAAATGGCCACACCTGGAGGGTCTTTCCATAAAGTCTCTTACTTTACTCCTGTTGGTGCGCCGGAACCCCCCCTGTGGCCGGTCCAGGTGGGAACACCCGACAGGGCTCCCAGACACCTCTGCCGGGAGAGCTTCAGCGCCTTCAGTGCATCCTGGGCCACACGGTTGGCCTCCGCTTCGACCAGCACGTAATCGGGACTGGCTCCGTCCATGATGGCATCATGTCTCATGACACTGTGCACACCTGTTAGGAGGAACAAAGGAAACGGTGCAAGTGATGGCTCTGCTAGTACGTGCATCAATTAGATACATTCATAAATTAGAATGAAATCAAAATCTGCCAGATTTTCTCTTCTATACAGTCTACTGTGGGGTGGTGGACAAAAGTGATGACCACATTTTGCTACCTTTTTAACACGTTTTTCACCACAACTTTTTACCACTGCCAACATATCTGCAAATGTAGTTTCCGTTCACCTTCATCAACAGCCAATGGAGTGAGAGCAGAGGTATCTAAACCTAGTAGGCCCATAGCCCCTTACTCAGGGGAAAAAAAAAAAGAAACTACTCAACGCACCCTGAAAATCTCCCTTCTCTCTGTGAACCAACAGAAAGTGCAGTTAATACTGCCCCTGCAGATCATTCTAACACTCACTTGGGAAAGCAATCAGCTGGAGTCCCTAACTATCCCTATTTTAAACACAATGCTTTTACTCACCACAACTTTTATGCAACCTCCTCTCTATCATCTGGAAAATTTTAAAGCCCTCTATTAAAGGAAAAAGTGTAAATAAGATAAGTCAGAAGTTTAGAATTTCTAAAAAGCAACTATTGTGAAAACACTGCACTAGAATAATAAAATTGCAGCAAAATTTTCATAAGTATGAATACATATATAAATTAGAATAAAATAAAAAATAAATTTGCATTAAATTCCCAAGTCAAAGAAACTTTATAAAAGTACCCCCCCCCAATAAAGTCCAAACAATGCACCAACATGCAACAAAAACAAAAGCATAAGGAAGAATGTACTGAAGCTGAAAGTTAATGGCATATAGTACAATTGTAGGTCACACTAATAAAACAAAATCCTGGTTCAGGACTAGAGAGATAGTACAGGGATAAGACATCCAATGCACCCTTGTTTAAATCCCCAGCAGCACATATAGTTCCTTGAGCCCCACCAGAAGTGATCCCTGAGAACAGCCTGGATTAAGCTCTGGGTACTGCGGATATGAAAAATGAAAGAAAAGGAAAAAAGTTCCTGGTTTATTAAAATAAACCACTCCCCTCTCAGAGAGCCTGGCGAGCTACCGAGAGTATCTCGCCTGCACGGCAAAGCCTGGCAAGCTCCCTGTGATGTATTTGATATGCCAAACACAGTAACAACAAGTCTCATAATGGAGACATTACTGGGCCCACTCGAGCAAATCGATGAACAATGGGTGGACAGTGGACAGTGGGCAGCAATGACAAGGGGGGGAATTACCTTGAAACAAGGAAGTTTTAAACATTATTCATACCACCAATACCTCTGTGAAAATAAATCTAAATTTATTTGGAAAATAAATTTATCTGGAAAACAGACCAGTAACTAACGAGAAAAGCAGAGAAAGTCATCAATGAACTCTCATTCTTCACAACAGAAAGCCTCGGGCCCAGGCGGCTTCATGCTGTCTTTCATAAACATGTCCTCTGTCACAGGGAGCTGTCACCAGAGCCTGGGGACTCACGGCCTTCACACATGCCACAGTGACTGCTGGGTCTGAACAGATGACTCTGCCGGGCACCCCTGAACCATGCTTTCCTACCTCTTCCTGGGCTGAACAATTGCACAGTCCCCTTTCCAAAGCCTCCCGCCCCTTTGATCATTAGCAATCAGCTCTCCCGCTTCCAGAGCCCCTGCCTCTGCCTTGTCCCCCACTTGATCTGCTACTTTCATTTTTTTGTGGTTGGAAAATCAGATAAATATAGCACATAGAAAAGTTTGCTATTCAAGTTCAGGTAGGGAAAAATCTATTTAAAGCTCTGGGTCCCTCCTGTCTGTGGCGGAAAGTCAAGTGCTGTTATTCTCCAAAGTTTCCAATTCTTTTTTTTTTTTGGAGGGGGGCACACACCCGGCAGTGTTCAGGTGTAACTCCTGGCTGTCACTCAAGAATTACTCCTGGCAGTGCTCTGAGGACCATATGGGACCATATGGGGATTGAACCCAGGTCAGTCACATGTGAAGCAAGCATCCTACCTGCTGTACACTCGCTTGGGCCCCCAAACTTTCCAGTTCTTCCAGGCTCTCAGGAAAGAGCAATGAATATGACACTCAATGTGCCAGTAACGTCTCAAACCTTAATTTCAGAAACAAACATGATGCAGTGGAGTGCACACTTTGGGCTGCCAAGTTTAAGGCTCTACTGCTGGAAGCAGTCCAGGAGGCTCTATTTCTGGTTCAACTGAAGCATAAGCGTCAAAAGGTTTACCTGATTTTTTGAAAAGCTTTTCCAGAACATAATCGTCATTGCTCTGTTCCTTGGGCTTGCTCTCGTCTTCGTTGTCTTCCTTCTGATACTGCCGTTTCTTCACCAGGTGGGGAACGCGAGTGCCTTCGAACTTGGCATCCCTGTGATGCTTGGACTTCTTCTGCTTTGGGGTCAGAGGTTTCTCCAGGGTTGCTTCTTCTGCCACACTGTGTTTGGTTTTTGATTTGCGCTTGTAAGAATTATTTTCCGTCTGTTCACCTTCCCAAGGCGGTTCTGTTTGGATCTGGCAGGTTTCTTTCTTAGCAGGAAGACCCTCCTTTCCCTCGAGGTCTTCCACGCCAGGTGTCCCATGTGTTTCACCGATTCTTGGAGACACGGAAGAGTCCCCATTTCCACGCAACTCTGATGACTCCTCTGGTCTAGGCACTGCTTTTACCTCCTCTCCAAGTCTGTCATTGCCAGTGAGAGCACTGGGTGTTTCCAGGGCATCTTTCAAAGGATCCCCTTGATTCGCAGTCAGTGCATTTACTTCAGTTCTTAGAGCTGCCGATTTTTTTTTAGCTGATGTGACATCATCCACAGATGCGCTAGACCCAGGGAACTTTTGGTGACCTGAAGTATTATGGTTTGTTCCAAAGACTGCTTGAGGTTTTCTTTTTGAATGGCTTTTGGGTGTCTGAACATCTGAACCAGTTCCTAGAAAGGGCAAAACACTAATATAACACTACATAGTTTATATGTACACGACCACTTCAAGGCACAATTATTTTACGCAATACCTGCAAAAATAGCGCTTGTTTCAGTGCTCTGAGACGCATCAGGGCTAGTTAAAGTAAAGAGCTCATAAAGATCATTGGATTTGAAAAACCGTCTTTGCTTTGGATCTTTTAGTACTCTGTTTGTCAAAAACTGCTTGAAGATTTGTCTGAAAGGACAAAAATTAAACAGATTATTGAATATCCTCTAGGCCTCCATAAAAATTCCGATCCTAAAACAATGTAACACATGATGACTAGAGTTATATTAATATCTAATTAATCACAACTTTTAAAAAGTCTGGGTCCAGAGCAATAGCACAGCAGGGAGGGTATTTGCCTTGCACGTGGCCCACCCAGGTTCAATCTCCAGCACCCCATATAGTCATCTGAGACCACCAGGAGTGATTCCTGGGCATAGAGCCAGGAGCAACCTCTGACAAAGCCAAGTGTGGCCCAAACACCCCTCTCTCACTAAAATTAGAAAAATAATAATAGTAATAGTAAGTCTTAGAAAATGAAAATCCATATAATACATAAAATACGGGTGGTGTCCCATGTTTTACAGAAATTAAATGAAAAATACTGCCTTACTGCAATGCATGCCCAATTAACATATTCTTCCTGGTAAGAGGTCACTAACCCTCAGAAAATGAGACTTAACTCATGGTCAGCCTCTTCCATCAAGGGCTATGAAGAATATGTGACTTCCCAGTCTCTGGTCAAAGCAGGGGGCCTCCCATGGAAAGCTGAGGTAGAAGTCAGGAATAAAGTCTTGGGCAAGGGATAGGGAGAAGTTGACAATATTGCCACTAGAGTGTGGAAGTGACTCTTGCCCATCAGCCTCTAGTCATTGTGGTGATGGAGGAAGGAGCAGAAGTCCTGGTTGACCTCTCCCTAAGGAACATCTCAGACAAAGATCAGAAGGACATTCAACGCCAGCATGGTATACAAAACCCACCAGCAGCGTGGCTTTGCAACTTGGTCACTTTTTCTGTTTTTTTTTTTTGCTTTTTGGGTCACACCTGGTGATGCTCAGGAATTATTCCCAGCTCTGCACTCAGGAATTACTCCCGGCGATGCTGGGGGACCATATGGGATGTTGAGAATCAAACCCGGGTCAGCTGCATGCAAGGCAAATGCCCTCCCTGCTGTGCTACTGCTCCAGCCCCCAACTTGGTCATTTTTAACAAATTTTCTGAAAGATGGCAGACCATAAGAGTTCTCTCAAATAACACTATAAAGTTTTACATATAAGTAGTCCTTAAAGTTAAATAAGGTAGAAAACAGATCAAGTTTAAAGACAAAACTTGCAGCAAGCTACCTTAAGCTTATTTTAATAGAAAGGAAAATCGAGGGCAAGAGACTGGACATCAGGTAGGGCACTTGCCTTGCATGCTGCTGACCCAGGTTTGATCCCTGGCACCCCACATATTTCCCTCCCAGGATTCTTGAGTGAAAAGCTAGGAGTAACCCCTGAGCTTCACTGGGTATAGCCCTCAAACAAAACAAAACAAAAAAAGTAGAAAGAAAAATTATGTGCCCCCCTCCATTTTTTAAAAATCCACAAACCCACAAAATTCTAACAAAATGAAAGGACTTTTAAATTTAAAAGTACTAGTTTTTCTAAATTCCTGCTTGGAATGTTGGCTGTCCTGAATGCTCAGCAGGGGTACTGACCGGTGGTAAATCTTCTCTTCGATGGTGCCCGCAGTCAGCAGCCTGTACACCGTCACCTGTTTCTTCTGTCCTATCCTCCACGCACGCTCTCGAGCCTAGGGCAGAGAGATGGAGTTCAGCCTTCCTAATGATGAGCGACACTGAAAGAAACAGCTGCCCCTCCCTTCCCCTCCCTCCCACCAACCCCCGGAAACCAGAATTTCATCTAATGAAAACAAATATTCCGAAAGCTTCTTAAGAAAACAAACAGGTAAGTGAGAAAGACAGACTGAGACATTTCTGTCTGAAAAACAATGTGTTTTTGGCTTTGCAAATTCTTTTGTGACCCCTGATCTAGTGACAGATGCTAGGTGTGAAGGGATGCAGCCTTTTCCTGTTGACGATGCGGGAAGGGGCATCCTCCATGCCCACATCTAGGGGACAGCTGGGATGGGATTTACATGGTGAAGAGCAAGACCCTCCGTTTGAGCGCAAGCCATCAAAGCACGTCCTGAGCGCCTTCCTTTCAGAGATGAACAGACCTGTGTGTCTGTGCTGGGGTTCCAGTCGGGGTCGTAGATGATGACTCTGTTGGCACCTGTCAGGTTGACGCCTAAGCCACCCACCCGAGTGGTCAGCAGAAACACAAAAATGGATGTGTCCTAGAGGTAAGAGACACAACACTTGTAAGATTGGGTACAGCTCTTCAGTCCCACCTTGACACAGCCTCCATGTGAATTATTCCCAGTACAGGAACAGGCTATTGTTGGGGAACAGTTTTTCTCCAACATGCCCAGACACTCTGCGCATCGCATCCAGGCAGACGCAGGGCGAAGGATGATGGTGGCGTGAAGAAACCAGTTCAGGAGGCAGCTGATGGCCACTCACTTTATTGCCAAATACACATATATTTTACAGAGGGTCTCGGCTTAAGACGATGGCCCAATCTCATAAAGTTTAGCATTACTGACCTATCACCTTTCCAACTCTTCTTTGCCCCAGCCCAATCCCAATTAGGGCTAGATGCTGCAGTTAGGAATGACTCGGTAAGTGTAGGTGACAATTCGCGGGGCTTGGGTGAGACTCAAGGCCAGATATCTGGTGTTTGTCAAATGCGCCCAGACACTCCCTACTGGGTCGATATGCAGGGACAGGCTCTGCTCTGGAGCCTGTTGCCGTGCTCCACAGGCTGTCATGGGCTTCTCCCACTCAAGATCCCATGTCAGGGCTCCTAATTTCACTATCATTTATGTGAGCAATATTTAAGATACGGCTTTCATGGAGGAACACACACTGCGTGTGTATGCACGTGTATACTCCAAAAATACCTATAATTAGAAAAAATAAAGCCCCCTTCCACCTGCTGCCCAATCGCAGATGTAAACGCCACTCAGGTGGCTGTAGATATGACCCTCCATTCTCTCTGCAAGAGTAGTGGTAACTGACTTTCCAGTTGCATTGACTTGTTACCTCATTGTATCTTGTAATCAGAGGCTGTCTCGATGCGATCGTAGAAGTACCATCCATCTTGAGATAAGAATAGTTTTGGGCTCTAAGGAATACTTCAAGTATGTTCAACATCTGTTTGGGGAAGGGTTGGGGAATAAAAGTTCAAGAATTAGAAACTGGAGAGATAACATAGCAGGTAAGGCACTAGCCTGTATGTAACCAACCCAGGTTTGAACCCCAGTACCACATATAAACTCTTGAGACTCACCAGGATTAATCCCTGAGCACAGAGCTAAGAGTAAGCCCTGAACACGGACAGGTATAGCACAAAAAAACAAAACAAACAAATCAAATATACACTCCTATTGAATGCAACTGTATTTGTATAAACAGAGACACTTTTTTTTTTTCAAAAGGCTTAAATTAAAAGGGATTTCTTGAGCTGAGGAGATAGGTCAAGTGTTAAAGCACTTGTCTGGCACTGCATGGTCCCCATAAGCACCACAGGATGTAGCCCCTGTTAAAAAAACAAAACGGGACTGGAGCGATAGCACAGCGGGCAGGGCATTTGCCTCACCCGCGGCCAACTTGGGTTCGATTCCCAGCATCCCATATGGTCCCCTGAGCATCACCTAGAGTAATTCCTGAGTGCAGAGCCAGGAGTAACCCCTGTGCATCACCAGGTGAGACCCATAAAGCAAAAAAAAAAAAAAAAAAAAAAAAACAAAGAAACAGGGGAGGGGGGCTTTTGCTTTGAGATGGATAAATATAACTGCTCAGAAAGTATTTTCGACATTTTCCTATTATTAATTTTTATAAGCTTTGGAAACAACAAGACTTCAGGCCCAAACTTTCCTGTACCCGAGAGTCATATGCAGTCTTTTTAAAAAGTCAAGGGACAGGGATTAACTTAAAGAAAGATCCCAGCTCCCATAAAAACTTGAAGGCTGCCTCCTCATCTTCAGTAGGAAGGTTTGTTTTAGATCATGTCCATTTTTTTTTTAAATTAATGGCCAGGTGTTCTAAAGAACCAACACTTCCCCGTACAAGGTTGGCAACTCACCTGTCTTGACTGAGAAAACAGCAAAACTCGCTGGCCCTGCTTGTGCCAGATTTTCAATAGGGACTCGACAACTATCATCTTTCCAGAACGTTTCCAGTATCCAAACTGATCTTCCTCGAGCCCATCCTCGGGAACACCTCCGAGATTCTTGGGGCCTCCAGAGAAGAGATCAGGATGGTTGCAGATTTTTCTCAGGGCAATAAGCCCAGAGAAAACCTATGGCACAAAACAGTTATTTACACTCAGACCACCCCATGTAAAACAGTACCCTCTCAGGAAGGAGGGAACGGAAGAGATCCAATATAGTGAACAGATCAGAGTTACTCTTCACCTACTTCTTAGTTTCCTCCTGAATCACAGCATATTAGGAGCAGGGAGGACTCAACCTATTTTTCCCTGAAAGGGCAAGTTAAAAACAAACTTGCACCAAAACGTGACTGACTACAGGAGAAAAACAGGAAGTTATGTTGAATAAAGCAGAAGTCACACGACATTGCTGGGGATTTATTTTCTCTCACTAGAAACAAAAGCATACAATTCACAGCTTTACAAACTTGATATATGAATGAATTCCTGGAGTCAGAGATTTAGTACAGCAAGTAGGGCACTTGGGCAATTGCCTTGAACATGGCTGACCTGGGTTTAATCCCTCATACCACATCTGGTCTGCTGGGTACTGCTAGGAGTTATTCCTGAGCACAGAGCCAGGAGCAAGCCCTGAACACTGCCAGGTGTGGCCCACAAACAACACCAAAAAAGCTCGTCTCTTAAATATAAATTAAGAGTGTCACCCCATCTGAATTTGGAGAAATCAGTCACATGATTTAGCAAATGCCCTTATATGTTATGCACTAAAAGTTCAGAGATAGTGCAGTGGGTAGGGTGCCTGCCTTAAGGATGGCCAATCCAGGTTTGATCACCAGCACCCCATATGGTTCCTTAAGCTCACCGGGAGTGATCCCTGAGAGCAGAGTTAGAAATAAGCCCCGAGCAAAGCTGGGTCAGACCAAACCCCCACCCAAAAAACAAAATAACTAAAATTAAACAAAATAAGCTCTGAAGTTTCCAATATGAATCAGGTGCTAAAATTTCATTTACCTCTGTGTTGGCCTCTTATCAGAAAATACCTGCATGGAAATCCACAAAAGGGAAAGATAAAGGAGGAATCCCACAGATGACAGAGCAACCAAGGGGCCAGGCAAAGATGAAAGAGGATTCCTAGAGATGGGCAGAGGGGACCAAAAGGGGCAGGCCCATCCTCCCTGGCCAGCAGAAGGGAAACTGCTGCGTTGGGAGTAACACTTGACCAACCTCTCCAGTGTAGAATCTCAAGCAGAAAACTGTATCATGAATTAAACGGTGAAAGAAGTTTTAAAGCAGTGAGCAGAGCAAAGAAAGATTCGGAACAAATCAGGCACATGGCCAAGACTTGTCAGTTGTAATAATTTTTCTTCTCTCTAGACCTGTGTAACTACACAGCAGTCATAAGACACAAGTGGCCCTAGAGCATTTGAAATGTGGCTGCTCCAATTGGAGACAGACTGCAAATACAGAATACCTGGATGTGACGTCAATACAAAAGTAAAATAGCTCATTTATATATATATATGTCATATATATATATCATATATATACGTATATACACTTTTTTTTCTTTTTTTCCCCAGTTTTGGAGTGACACCCAGTAGTGCTGAGGTGGGCTACCCCCCCCCTCTGTGCTTAGGGGTAGCTTCTAGTGGTGCGGGGGGAGATCAAACCCAGGCTACCTACCTACGAAGTATTTGCTCTGAGGTAACTCTCCCCCCACATCATTTATAAGTTTTGATTATATATCTAAATATTCTTTGAGATTTCAGAGTGAATATATTATGAAAATCTATTTCACCTGTTTATCTTTCCGTGTTTAGAGGAGATTTTAAATGACACCTGTGGTTTGTTAATCTATTGGAGCACTGATATGTACCACCCATGGCTGTCCAACTTGGAGGCACACGAAAATTAGGGGAGACTTTGGAGATAAATAAGTGGGAATGATTTGGGGAAAAAAACACACACATAAATACCAATGAGAGGCTTACTAAGACACTGTGAGAAACAATTAAAAGAACTGCAATGACTTGATCTAGACAAACCAGCAGGTAGCTGTGACCTGACGAGAGTGAGCACATCCCCTACTCTCATCACATCTCAGCACAGAAGCAGAAAAGTGTGTACCTAAGAGTGTACTCCACCACTCAGTTGCACCTCCAATGAGGAAACCAAGAAAGTCTTACATTTCAAATAAATAAAACCCCTGTGCATTGCTGGGTATGACCCAAAAAGCCAAAAAATAAAAAAATAAAATACAATCCACACCCAAAGTTCTGAAGCACAAGGAAGTTGAAATGTCTATATGAAAAGATTATAACTTTGCAACATGTGCTTTCTGAACACCCACTTACCCACATATGCCATGCATGGTCAGTAAGTAAAATGACTTTACTTGTAGGAAAACCTACACTAATCATTCTTCCCCTAGACACCTGCCAACTCGGAGCCCCTTGCCCAGGGCCGGTCGTCCCTACAGGGCTCAGCAGCACAGGTCCTTCTCTAGTGCTCTTCGTCCACTAGACAACATGGCATCGGGTCCACACCGAAAGGGAGCCTATGGAAAGGCAACTGTGTTCTCTTACTTGGGGGAGGGATTCAGGTTAAGTTAAGGCTGCACCAAGATAAAGATGCTAACAGTGAATCCCCGAGGAGTCTTCACTTCCTTCCTTCCCTTGGCCCACAAGTCATTCCTCCAGCTTTTAGTATTTTGCTGACCTGCATTTCTCCATTGAGAATTCTGTAAACTTCTTTGGAGTCAATGAAATTCTGGTAGACTTTATGCTGCTCATCCGTAAGACGACAAAATAAGACCTGGAGGGTGGGGGTGGGGGAGAATAAAATAGATTGTTATTCTTTGTTGTTGTTATTTTTTTGTTTGTTTTTTGGGTCACACCCGGTGATGCACAGGGGTTACTCCTGGCTCACGCACTCAGGAATTACTCCTGGAAGTGCTCAGGAGTATGGGATGCTGGAAATCGAACCCAGGTCAGCCTCCTTCAAGGCAAATGCCCTATCCACTGTGCTATTGCTCCAGGCCCCAGATTGTTATTTTTTTAAAAAAAAAATTCAACAAATGAAATCATTAATGTTAGCAATAAAATTTCTTCACAAAAAAGCATGACATGTACTTTTAATAATATAAAATGTTTAATTGTTTTTTTTTTTAAAAGAGCATTTTAGAAATAACCAAAAGGACACCACAGCTCTGAGCTAAACAAGAACTGAGTGCATTTCTCTCTGTCATGCATCTCTTGGTCCTCACGGTCCCTGAAGACAGGTTCCAGTGTAAGAAAGTCCAGGGTCAGGTGCACAAGTTTCCATCCAAGCCTCTAGGTGCTTGACAGTCCTATCATGGCCCTTGCCCACAGTCCACTCCAGAAAACCTGTCCAGGGACCAAACCTTACCTGGCACAAACCCCTTTCCTGGAACCCAGGTCACTAGTCTACCAGATCACTTCTGGCAACATCCCCTTTGCTCCCAGCTGTACCAGTTACGCCATGCCATCAAGGTCCCTGGCTTTAGGCTTCTCAATCCCCTTTCTCTAAGGCAGCAGAGAAAAGACTTTCCTTTCGAACACAAAGTTGACTGAATAAGTTCCTTACCCTGTCAGCAAACCATCATTTTAGGTCCTACACAGAATTTTAAATAGGTAGAGGCGTTCCAATCTAATAGACCTTCATGGAGAGTCTTGTGGAATCTTATAGAGAGTGAAAGTGTTGAGAGGGTGGGAGTCAGAGTGGATAAACCTCCAGAGACAGGTAATAACATGCAAATGGAAAGAAAATTAGCATGTCTGGGAAAAGAAATCTAAATTGTTTTTGCTACTGCATGGAATATATTAAGAGATGCTCTGAAATTCCATAGCGAATGAAGCTGATGTTAATAAACTGAAATCGGTATCCCTGGTGAGAAGACGAAGACTGAAACAATGCAGGTAGAGAGACGAGTCCCAGAAAGATGAATCCAGACACACTACACCATATGATGACGAAGGGAAGTGGGAAGAGCTGAGGATTTGGGAGACCAGTCAGACACTGACTACACTCATTCATGAAGACATAAAACTGAAGTGAGAGAATGAAAATGGACAAACAAACACCACAGCAACTGCTAGGTCTGGAATTCCAGAGAGCTCAGAGAACAGTGGCCTGAGCGTCGGACAGGAAGGGGAGACTGGAAGGAGAATGCTAATGTCAAAGGCTAAGTTTGCTGCTAAGTTTTAGAGGGAGGAGAGAGGTAGAGCAGGGAAGTCGAGGGAGAAAAGTAGTCTTGAAGACAGAGCTCCTGGAGCCTTTCTAAGTTTCAGCGCTCACCATCTATAATGCATTTACTTTTAGACACCCAACAGAAGATGCAGTCACATCTATTAAGATAATAGAACACTACTGTGGAATTTAAAAGGATGATCCTTTTAAAACCTGAGTCAAATGGTGTCACCTCTTTACTTAATATCTTCCGGTGAATTTCCTCCTCAGTCAGAGAAAAAAACCCAAAGTGCTTACCACAACTAGCAGGCCCCTGTAATCTGACCTCCTGCCAGCAATCTAACTCGATCACTCTCCTAACTCCTTCTCGCTGGGCCTTGCACGTATCACTATACCTCCCCACCTATTGACCTATCCACCTAGAATGTTCCTTCCTCCATCCCCCCCTATAACTCCTTCACCTTCTCACACACCTCTGCTCAAATGTTGGCTTATCAGTAAGGTTGCCTCTCAGATTCATTCCCCTTGCTCTCCTCATTTTCTCTCTATACTACCACCACCTGCCATCTTTTTTGCTTTTGTTGTGTTGTTTTTGGGCCACCCACTGCTGTGCTTGGGGCTTACTCCTGTCTCTGCACTCCTGGTGGGCTCAGTGGACCATACGCAGCGTCAGAGCTTGAACCCAGGTCGGTCACATGCAAGGCCAAGTACCTGGTATACTATCTTTCCGGGGCCACCTGTCCTCTATTTACCACTGTATCCCCTCAAGTAGGAGTATGAGTTCCACAACAGGAAGAGTTGGCTTCCTTTCAGCTATATCCTGGGTGCCTGCTCTGTTCCTATTACAAGCTGAAGCATGAACCGATTGGGGGTCTGAAGACAATGCAGAGGTATCAAAAGAGCTGTCTGACCAATACCCAAGGATAGCAGAAATAAGGGCCAGGAGGACTGGTCCATGATTGGAAGCCTGCCTCAAGTGCTGGGGGAGAAGGCAGTTGGGATAGAGAAGGGACCACTATGACAAAGATAGCTGGAAATGATCACTCTGGATAAGAACTGCATGCTGAAAGTAGGTAAAGGAACAAACATGATAGCTCTCAGTATCTGCATTGCAAACCTTAATGCCCCAAAGGGGAGAGAGACAGAGAGAAAGAATGAGATAGAAACAGAGACAGAGACAAAGAGAGAAAGAAGGAAAGTGCCTGCCATAAAGACAGATTGGGGAAAGGGTGGCGGAAGGGAGACTGGGGACAATGGTGGTGGGAAATATACACTGGGGAAGGGATGGGTGATGGGTGCTGGAAAACTGTATAACTAAAACCTGACCATGAGCAGTTTTGTAGCTCTGCATTTCATGGTGACTCAATAAAAAATACAAATATTTTTAAAGAAGGTAGTAATGAGAGAGAGAGAGAGAGAGAGAGAGAGAGAGAGAGAGAGAGAGAGAGAGAGAGAGAAAGCAGTCTGAGAAACTGTTAAAAAGAGAGTTCAGAGTCTATGGACAAGGAAGAACTCATGAAGAAAGAATCCTGTGAGGGAAGACGCCCGGGAGGCTCACCTCTCCCATATGGGGTACACACACACACACACAGACTCCCTGCCCACAGTCACCATGACCACGCCTGTCAGTCTGGCTAACTCCACATGGGAAAAGCAGAGGAAAGTAGACAGGTACCACCATAGGCATGTTCTGGTGACTACTGAATTTACAGACCTGTTCATTTTTATCAGGTAGTGAAAGGCTCATTTTGACATCTGACTTCATTCTCCGAAGTAGGTATGGATTTATGGTATCCCGTAAGACACATGCACACTTATATGCAGTTTTCACCTGCAATAGAGACAAAGGAAACAATTATTACAGGTTTATGAACTGCTCTTACCTCTCAACTGATCCCAATGTTGTGGCTTATTTTTTCTTAAAAGGAAGATCAATGATCCTACAAAATTGCAAATGCTTGAAAAACAGCCTGAAAAAAAAATGAGTGTAAATTCCATATACTTCAGGAGGAGGTGGCGGCTTTCATAGCACCCTCAGTAAAAAACACTTATCTTATTAAGCCAACAAACAACAAAAGAACAACCAGTAATTTTGTGCCTTAATCTTCTCATATACTTTGCTTTAATTATTATTATAGTTAAACCCTAAAGTGAGATTTACTCAGTTCTCAACCGCCCTCTAGGGAGAAAACTGCTTTCAAACGAATCTCTGTTTTAATCTTGTATTCTCCAAAAGCTACAAAGGCACTGCTTCTCTGCATACTGCAGATCAAAAGCTAACTCAGGGGGGAAGCCAGAGCAATGAGAGCGACCAAATAATAAGCCGAGATTACTGCCCACTGGAGACCTCGGAGAGCCAGTTCAAGAAAAGCCCTATGATCCCAGAAATGAAAGGTCACTCCAGCCTAAAACGGAGCATATGGTACTATAATGGAGTTTAGCCACATGAGATGGGGATTAGCTGTACACGGGAAAACAGAGACCCAAAGTGCAGGAACCACTCCCTCTGCAATTCACTTAGGCAAACAAAGAATTCAATAAATTATTGATACTTAAGCGAAAAAAAAAAAAAAACCCGAAATTGGCTTAACAACCTAGTAAATTGCTATTTAATGGAGGAAGAAAATTTCCAAAGTTTAAAAATCAAGACAGTTACAAAATAAATGATAATAAAAAGAGCTTGATGATAATCTGGAAAATACCATGATAAAAAATAATTGACATGGTAAAAAAGAAAACATTTTTTATTTATTTACTTATTTTGTGTGATCTGGGCGCCACACCCAGTGATGCTGAGAGCATACTCCTGGTTCTGTGCTCGGGATCACTCCTGATGGTGTTCAGGGAACCATATGCAGTGCTGGGGATCAAACCAGGGATGGCTCCATGCAAGGCAAGCAGCTTAACTGCTGTACTACCTCTCCTGCCAAGAAAACACTTTTCAAGACTCACCCATCCTGCTCTGGAGTTCGGACTCTTCTGGGGAGAGTTGGGTATGAGAAATAGGACCAATAGGACTCCCCCCGCCACTCCACCTTTGAACTTTGACCTTTGTGAGTTAAGTGGCCCAGGAACAGGGGACCAAGGGGGTTGTTTGGGAAAGAGGACCACTCTGGGGGGAGGGCAGGCTGGAGCAAGTGTATACTCACTCAAGCATGTACACATGTGCATGCTTGTTCTTGTGTTCGACTTGAGATATATATGATCAAGTACAAGTCATGATTTATAAAGTAGAAATGACTGCATTTGTTTTGTCTGTCCTATCATGGAAGCATACTACTTCCAATCTTCTTCAAAGTATATACAGTGTGTCAACTGTCCCCACATCCTCACTTCTTCCCAATTTTCTCTGCTCCAGAACAAGTGAGCTGGTTGGTAAGAAAGTCAAGACTAGGTGGTAGGGAACCCAGACACTCACTCCACTTGCTCCAGCCTGCCCTCCCCCCAGAGTGGTCCTCTTTCCCAAACAACCCTCTTGGTCCCCTGTTCCTGGTCCACTTACCTCACAAAGGTCAAAGTTCAAAGGTGGTGTGGCGGGGGGAGTCCTATTCTCACACCCAACTCTCCCCAGAGGAGTCCGAACTCTAGAGCAGGATGGGAGACTCAAGAAACCCTCACACAGCCTTGACATCAGGCCACATTCTTCAGCCCAGCCTTCCTAAGGAACGCTGTGTTCCAGGCAGCACAGAGGGCTCCATAACTCAAAGCCCATCTACCGTTCGTGTCTATTTCCCTGTGGGTAAAAATGTCACCGTGGGGCTCCCCCTGTATTTCTCTACCCTTCCCAACGCCCTCCAGCAGTGGACTAGCTGTGCACAGCCAGGCTGCCCTGCCATTCCTGACAAGGTCAAGCAGTAGCCAGACCCCAGTTCTGCCTTTCTAGAGCTAAGCGACCTTAACTAGTTAGCTAGTAAGCTCGTCATCAAATGCCGAGCCTCAAAAATCTTGCCCTTGACAGGGGGTTCAATCAGAATAATATTCCTCAACCTTTTCCCCATTTTGGCCCCCTTCTGACCTTGTTTCCTTCCAGGTCCTACTGGTTGACCCCCTAGTCTCATGCTGTGGATGCCCCCTCCACCATTTATACAATTTTCAGCAGTGACCCCCTTAGAATCCTAGTGGACCGCAAGAGATCATTTACGTGTCTCCTCCTACCCTCACTGCCCGGAACGAGGAATGCCCAACTAGATGATTCCTCGGGTTCTTTAAGTTCTAAAAGTTCGCCCAAAGGGGTAAATATTCAAATCTAAAAACCAGTCCATATTTTGGTCATTAAGGTTCCACCCCTCACCTTCAGCTCTGTAGGTCCTAGCACTATCATTCCAGCCCTCCGAAATCTGTTTGATCCTCACAAACTCTGATATGGTTGATCTGTGATCCCAGCCCTCATCACCCTGTACCTTGATCATGCGTGTACTTTTCCCTTCCCCTGCTCCCTCCCCTACTGGTGAAAAATGACTCAGGGGAAGGTTTGGATTGCCAGCTACCTCCCATCATTCGAGCACCAGCCCAACAAAATAAACATCTGCTGACGGAGTATCTTCTCAGGATTCAATAATGCGTGGCAATCATGGACTTAAACAAAGGGAGTGAATAAAAATACCACCTCTGCTCCCAAGGACCTTTCAATATAAAAATGGAAACAAGATATGCACACAAACGCCTGAAACAAGGACTTCAGGGAAGGAACAGACCATATTTACAAGGTCTCAAGGAACCTCCACGGTGATGATTTATTCATTCCAAAGGACAAGTGCTATCAGAAGAGTTCAGAAATTTGACAATGGCCGGTAGACAGCCCAAAGGCTGGAAAGCAGCCTTATAGGTGCCAGACTCCATATTCAATCCCCAGCACTGCATGGACCAGCACTGCCAGGCTGAGGAGCACACACTACCAGTCCAATCGCCAACCATCGGGCGGTGCCAGGCTGAGTACCACCAAGAGTGGCCTCTGAGCTTCCAAGGGTTACTGGGGAAGTGGGCTCCCCACAAAGGCCACCAAGAAACAAATAAAAATTCAGCAAACATCACCATCCATCAGTAATCAGTTAGCACTACTGAAGAAAGGATAAAGCGACAGCACATGCTGCCAGAGATGAAGCGCATAGAAGGACACACCACTTTTTGCCAAAATGCATCACCTGAGCCCACTCACAAGAATAGGAGACACACCTAGAATGAGGTGCTTTCTTTACAATAACAGGCTTCTAGTCTGCCAGCTGTCCTAGAAGGTAAAGGAAAGTTAGAGCCATGGTTCCCAAACCCAAACTTACTTAGCCTACCTACCACCCCCAATTAAAAAAAAAAAAAATCACAGCACCCTCCTGGAACTCTGACTATTTCTTTAAGAGGACAGCACGAAGGGCCTGCACTACATCTGCTAACCCAGTACTGTTACAGGGTGACAGGGTTGTCCCAGGTCAAAGGGGACGTATGAGTCAATGAGACTATCAGCACAATTGGCCAAACGTGGATGTCTCCAGGTCCCACAATTCTATCAATGCTAAGTTTTCTCCTGGTTCTGATGATCACTGGGCTTTTAGATTTATTTATGTGTGCTTTCTTCCTCTGCCCTTTGTCCAAATTGTAGTGGATGTTGGTATGAGGGGGTGCTGCACACGCACCTGACTGTGGTGGGCACAGGGTTACACTGCCGCACCCAGGGCCAAGGTGCTTGCTCAGGGCTGCACTCCTTTAGTTGTGACGCTTGTACACGAGCTCGTTAGGGGTCACACACCAGCTGTGCTGGCGCAGTTCATTGTGGTGCTGGCCGGAGGTAGCACTTCCCAGCCCTGGTGCTCGCTGGGTGTTGAGCCCCACTTTTCTGCCTGTGGACCTCCCACATGCCCAGAAATATGTCGTGCCACCAGAAACCAGCTCCAGTGTCTGGGATTGCAGAAACAGGTGCAGCGGGGATGTAGGGAGTGCACACGTGGAGACACAGGGAACCGAGCACATGTCCTAGCCATTGATCCACACGGCCAAGTCTCCCCACCCCACCCTCGGGCCCCAGCTATGGTTACAGAAGAGAATGTCCCTAGAAACATACAGTGAGGGCTGTGGAGGGGTAGCCTGCTAGCCTACCAGCTGTTCTCAGATGATTTGGGGAAAACTAGAGCATAAATCTGAACAAAGAAAGCAAAATGTTAGCAACATGCTATAACAACTGGGAAAGCTGGGTGGGAATTCTTTTTGCAATTTCACAACATTACCTGCGATTCTCCAAAGGAAATGGATTCCGATGGTTCCCTAATTGGAGAGGTTGAAAATCCTTCTCCCTGTGAACTGTTGGAGAACATCCAGACAGCTCTTGGGCGGAAGGCTTGCTTCCTGGCTGGGCAGGGGAAAACCGCGGAGTCACTCTTCCTCCTCAAGCCAGAAGGAAATCTACACGTGGTCCTCAGTGGGCTGCATCTCCTGGTGTCCCCATGCATGACAGCCCATCTGCATGACACTGAGTCTTAAAAACTCAGAAGTGGGCTGCGCCTTGCTCACTCCTCTGCTCCCACTTCCTGGTTTCAGCGGCCACAGCTGGTTCATTCTGCCTCAGGGCTCCTGGCCCACTCACTGCCAGCCTCCCTCCCACTCACACGGAGTACGACCTGATCTCAACCACCTTCCAGCTCACCGTCTGGGGCCTGCTCCTGCCCAAAGCAATGCTGCTTCCCTATCAAGCCCCAACTCTCCTCCCGCCCCCCCCCCCCCAGTCCACGCCAATGTGTCTCTTCACTGTCCATGACTGTGCCATGGGGCTGCTATCCTGCTGGCCTGTCCAGGAGGTCTGCCTTCTTTTCTGGCCTTCTGCTTACTGAGAACTGGGAAATGAGTCTCACCAAGTCTTCCCTGAATCCTCCCTAGTTTCACCTCTTCTGATTTCTGACACCTTGTCAGAAGCACCAGACCGATATCCAGAACTGATTCACCTTGTTTCATCATTTTAAGTGAGTCTTAATTATGTTTACAAGATTAAAAAAAAAAAACCCAACAAACCCCATCTGGAAAAACAGGGCCCTATTAAACACAAATGATTTTTTATCAGATACCATGTTATAAACTTGGTAACTCTCTTATATTATGAATGACCTGGCAACAAAATCTAGTTTCTAATAAAAACATTTCCGATATTAAAGTGCTGACGGCGCTAGCTGCCTTAATGCCTTACCTGTACGGGGGAAGCATTTGAGTATCCCCCCATGGTGATGGGGACTGAGAACTGCTCCATAAACACAGGCAAGGTGCCGAGCTTTCCGGGAAAGATAAAGTCAAAGAGTGACCACAACTCTCGGAGGTTATTTTGCATTGGAGAGCCAGATAAGATGATGCGATGTGGGGTACGGAACTGTTGAGGGGTGGAGAGAGGAAATACCATTTTAATTAAATTTGTCTTTTAACAGACGACCACTAACCCTATCCCAAAACACTCCCTGCAATCTGGTTCCTTCCTTCCTATCTATCCATCTGTCTGTCTGTCTGTCTTGGGGTCTTTGCGCCAAACCCTGCAGTACTGAGGAGCTATTCACAGCTGGGTGTTTCACGGACCAGGAGGGCTGGGATCAAACACAGGGCTGCAAGGCCAAGCAAGTGTTCCACCCTCACAATCTTCTTCTTGAAACACATTTATGTCTCTTTTTGGTCTTCTTTAAAATGTAGATAATTTATGTCATTTTAGTTCTTTATTTATATAGTTTTTTTTAAATGGGAATGAATTTTTTTCCCTTATGGTTCAAGTTGAATACTATAGATCAGAATTGGATTTGTTTACATTCTAATAATTTGGTTACATTCTAAAAAAGCCTTTACGTAATGTCAACAATTAGAATTAGAAGCAAAACAACAGTGGCATGAGTGATAGTATAGCAGATAGGGTGCTTGCCTTACATGCCGCTAACCTGAGTTTGATCCCTAGCATATGGTTCCACCAGGAGTGATCCCTGAGCACAGTCAAGGAAAAAGCCTTTACTGCCAGTATGGCCCCCAAACAAACAAAACAAAACAAAAAACCAAATAAGTAAGGGCAGAAATAATTTTTTGCACTAAGGCAAAAGGCGTATTTCGTGCTTCTTGTGCAAGGACACCAGGAAAGATTCAAGATTCAGCAAGTGTGTTACTAAAAGCAGAGACTGTATTCTCAAGGAAGTACCATTACCACCTCAAAAGCTCCCCCTTGTAAAAGGTCCTACCTGTTTGCAAGCAAGGGTGACGGCAGCATTGGGGTTTCTGATTTTGTGCCCTTCATCCAAGATGATATAGTGCCAGTCGTGCCTGCTGATGTCATCCTGCATCAGTCGGATGTAGGAGTAAGAGGTGATCAAAATTCCGTGACAATGAGCAATTTCTCGAACAAGTTTCGCCTAAAATGAAAATAACAAAGCCAGTTTTAAATGAAAATTAAGCAAGCATGACTGCTAAAATGGCAATCTTCCTACCATGATACAGTCTAAAGCAGCTTTATAACTACTTACATAAACACCATTCCAATCATCCATTATCGTAACTGGAGGTTTACTTTGTTTCATGCATTAAGTAGAAAACCCTCTAATACAGTCACTGTTTAGAAGCACAGGGCTCAAAGGAAGACCAGAAAAAGTTGTAACATGTAAACACTCAATTGTAATGTTTCCAAGATATCACACCTCATCCTTGTTTAATTTGAAACACCAAGCTAGGTGCGAAACTAGTATTTTAAACAACAGCAAAAAGGGAGAGGAAGGCCAAGGAGACAAGGGAAGGCAAATACAGAAGTTCTAAGAATGACATGAATTACAGGAGGAGGAATGAGGAAGGGCATGAAAGAAAAAAAAGAATTTTTTTTAAACGCTGAGGAGAGCTTTGAATCACCGAGCAAAGATTCCTAAGGTATCAGGCAGAAACACTGAAGAGAAACATCTACCTAGGCATAAACCTACTGATGGCTGAGTTCCCAAAACAAAGTAGAAGAAAATGCTTCTAGTAAGAACAAAGCAGAGAAAAGTTTTCTTTTAGAGGAAAAATGCCGGACTGACCTTTTGTACAGACATCTTCATTTTTTTTTCTTTCTTTTTGGGTCACACCCTGCGATGCACAGGGGTTACTCCTGGCTCTGCACTCAGGAATTACTCCTGGCGATGCTCAGGGGACCCTATGGGATGCGGGGAATTGAACCCGGGTTGGCGGCATGCAAGGCAAACGCCCACCCGCTGTGCTATCGCTTTAGCCCCTGTACAGACATCTTTAATCCTCACACTGAAAATGCTAGAAAGCCAGGGATGAGCTTCCCAGCGCTCCAGGGGGTCAAAGCAGCAGCTGTGTTTGGCAGAAGTGACCAACTCATTGCGTGGGTGGGTGCGTGGGTGTCACTGCTGGCTCAGTGCTCAGGGGACTGTGCCCTGCGGGGGATCAGACCCAGGGCTCCTGAACGCAAATCACGTGGCCCAGCACATTGACTGATCTGCCTGGCTTCCCAGTGTGTTTCAAGGAAAATGAAAGGATCAGAAAATTTGACCCAGGACAGAAAAGGGTGATAGATATACTGCTTGAATTTTTTCAACTGTAGAACAAAAGTAAGTAAGTATGTAAGTAAAGGCCCTCCCGTTGATCGTCGATTTGCTCTAGCGGGCCCAGTAACGTCTTCATTGGAGACTTTGTTGTTACTGTGTCTGGCATATCGAATACGTCACGGGGAGCTTGCCAGGCTCTTCCGCGCGGGCGAGATACTCTCGGTAGCTTGCCGGGCTCTCCGAGAGGGGCGGAGGAATCGAACTCAGGTTGGCCATGTTGGCTGCGTGCAAGGCAAATGCCCTACCGCTGTGCTATTTTTGTAATACATTTATGCCATTTACTAGTTAATAATTTCTACTTCAGGATGAATACTAGGAACAGAATAACTCTCAAATCTAAGGGTGAGATGAAATGAAAAAAAAAAAAAAACCAAGAAAAAAATGAATACCAAAAGACAAACATAAAGGGTCAGAGTAATAGTACAGAGGGTAGAGCAATAAGCCTTGTAAACAGCTGATTCAGGTTCGATCCCCAGAATCCCATATGGTCCCCAGAGCACTGTCAGGAGTAATTCCTAAGTGCAGAGCCAGGAGTAATCCCTGAGTATCACCAGGTGTGACACCCTCTCCCCACCTTCCCCCCCAAAAGGACAAAAATAACTGGTCCAGACTAAATACTCGGGGATTTCCAGTGGGAGCAGCAAGACTCCACAGAATTAGTATGGCAAAAACTCATTACCATGTTTAAAAGAGACTCCCCAAACCAAACTTACACTGAAAGTTGACAATGTGAGAATTAACCAAAGGTTTACCAAGGAAAGACAAATAAAATGAAGCAGAATTAGAACGGAAATGTAAGACATAAATAACAGACTGAAAGGTGGTGAGCTGCCCATTTTCTGTTGTAAAGCTAGGAGCACCCCCAAAATAGAAGAGTCCCCCAAATAGGAGAGTCTGTATTCATTTTTTTGTCTAGCGTGGAGCACTGTGAAACACACAGTGAGGCCCTTAACTGGGCTACACTGTGGGGACCCACAGCCAAGGATGCTCTAAAGGTTGACACAGCCTCTAAGTCTGACAGATCAGAAAAGAAAAAAACAAGATGAAAGAAAACAAAAATCTCAAAAAAGAGACAGTACAGACATAGGGAACTTGCCTTGCATGCAGCTGACCCAGGTTCATTTCCTGGCATATTACCCCCCCCCCCCCAGTACAATCGGAGTGACCCCTGAACACAGAGCCAGGAGTAGACCCCAAACACCCCTGGGCGTGCCCTCTGACCCCCCAACACCACTAGTTGTGTCCCTGTCCCCCCAAACAGTCTAAACTATAGAACACAAATCATTTGCATATTAGTAAGCTGCCACTGCAGAACTTTAGGCAGCACAGAGAATATTCATTTGTCACATTTTATTAGGAAAAGCTGAAATCAAACTGAGCAGTTGATGCAAAAAAGAAAAATGAAGGACCTGGAGATGGTTTCAAGGGCTGGAGCACATCTTTGCAGACCAGAGCCCTGGTTCCACATCTAGCCGCACACGACCCCAGTCACTGAACCTGGAGTAGACCCCAAGCAAAAACCAAAATAGGAGAAGAAATGAGAAACTTAGTAAGTTACAAACAAAACACATCGGGGCTGGAGCAAGAGCACAGCAGGGAGGGCATTTGCTTTGTACGAGGCTGACCCAGGTTCGTTTCCTGGCATCCCATACAGTCCCTCCAGGATGATTCCTGAGCACAGAACCAGGAGTAAGCCATGAGCATCGCCAGGCGTGGCTCCCAAACAAACAAAAATCATGGTGGAACTGAAAAACAGAAAAACTGAGTAACTCTTTGAAAAAACTAAACAAAACAGACAAACCTGTGAAAAAATTGGTCCAAAGGACAGCAAGAGAAATGTCAAAGGAGTGTAGGCCAAAGATAAAGTGTCAATCAAATGCAAGTTCAAGACCTGAATGTTTGCAAAGGATCACCATCACAAACCCAGCAAACCCTTTTTCCAGGAGGAGACTTCCACATACACATACTCCCCACCAGATTCCTTACTTTATCTACATTAACCCAATCAGGAGCATCTCAGGAATACAATGAATCGCAATACAAATCATAAATGTTACAAAATTGCACCTGAAAAAAAATTTGATATCATCTTGATAAACAAGAATGAGAAAAAAATTTAATTCAACTGGGTATAAAAGGGTGCAAGGGACAAAAATTTTTGAATGAGAAAACGCAAACTGTTTTCAAATGTCTTCAGACTTAAAAGAATGTTTTAAAGAGGAATTACAATACTGGATCACTATAAAAAATCCAGCAGGGGAAGGCTTTACTTCTATTTTCTTGCACAATGTCTGCGTAACCATTTCCCAACTTTTCAGCCAAGGACCTCTGGGCTCATGGGCCACAAATACACCTTCGGTTCCCACAGGCCGGCCACCCTCCTCTTCTCCCAGACAACACTGCTTCTCCATCACCATTGGCTTGTGTTAATGATGATGTTCTGGACAGTGGCTCTGCAATGCCCAGGGAAGAAAAGCTGTCTGGTGTCAAACATCGCCAGCTCCACCACAATTAACTTACTCAGCCCTTCCTAAGACATTTAGGAATCAGAACCGACTTCAACCGTACCTTCACTCTAACATTTGCACCCAGAATCCTGACAAGCAGGCAGCTCTCCCAAATCTCTTTCCAAATTTTCCCTCCAAGAGAGAAGTGGTGGCAGGAAGTGAGAAAGCAGGCAGTGCCTGGGATGACAGCAAAACACAACACCAGCCTGACTCCGATCCAGCACAGCGCGGTTTGGAAGCCCAGAGAGACAAGAGATGAAGTCTAAAACTGGGGTCTGAAATATCCCAGGAGCTGAATTACTGCTCGCCAGTACACAGCATCTGCTACATGACACGCAAAGCCCGCCAACATGGGCCCCTTTGTTCATGGCCCCTGGCCCTCCTAAGGGCTGAAGGCACGCACTCGCCACAGTCACACAATTGCACACTCACTGCCAGAAATGCCATCCCAACTGGACTCTGGACACCACTTTACAGAACCAAACAAAGGAGTTGCCGGGCCTCAAACACAGCACCGGAAGGAGGCTGTGTGTCTTCCACACAGTGAGGACCGCTCACAGGAAAAACACAGAACTCTTACCACCTTCAGAAAGATGTACAAGGATGAGGAAGAATGAAAAAGACAATTTAGTCAAAAAAAAAGTAAGAAGCAAATTTTATCGTCCTCACTGAAAATGTAACACTCACTTCTCAGCCATGGGGTAAAAAAACACAACTAAAACTATCTGTTTTCACCTGATTCCATCTCTGATCCTATAAGTGCTCGGCTGGAGTTTCAATAATGGTGAATTGTTGAATATTATGGACGTCTCTATCCAAACACTTAAGACAAATCATCTCGGGCGGTTTCAAATTAAAAGCTTGTAAAATATGTAACCTCTCCTAGTTTTTGCAATTAATAGGGTACATCTGCAATTAGCCTGACTTACTGAATGCAGGGCTGTTGTCATTAAAAGATGTCTGTGAAAGTGCTGCTGTTATTACGGAGGCTCAGGAGACCAATCCCTCCTAGAGGGCAAACAGTGGACTGGTAGAAAACAACAGCCATAAATCACACTGTCAGGCGGCGGGGAGAGCAGAGTGGAGCTCAGGCACATGAAGGCCATTCGCGGGAAACACAGCACGGCAGCTTTCCAGGCAGGATTTACTGCACCTGTAATTAATTAAAATTTCCTTCAAGCTAAATCTTTAATAAACAAGGATTTGTGCTGACAATGAAGAAAAAAAAGGGGGCTCCGGCAACATAATTTCACAACGTACCTCACAGAACAAGCACAGCATCTATCATTTCTTGTATCAGGTGGATAG